CATGTCAAGGAGAGAAGCAATTCAGGGCCGAGGTGAGCTCAGTTGGACTGATCCAACATATCAACATAGTCAAATTGATTGGTTTCTGCAGCGAAGGTGATAAAAGGTTACTTGTATATGAACACATGTCAAATGGGTCTCTGGATGACCATCTGTTTAAGAAGAGCAATGCTAATGGTGATATCCTGAACTGGAACACTAGATTTCAAATAACCCTTGGAATTGCTAGAGGATTGTCCTACTTGCATCAGAGTTGTCGCCAATGCATCATACACTGTGATATTAAGCCAGAAAATATACTTTTGGATGCATCATTTGTTCCTAAAGTTGCAGACTTTGGGTTGGCGGCATTAGTCGGACGGGATTTTAGCCGAATTCTAACCACATTCAGAGGAACTGTTGGTTATCTTGCTCCGGAGTGGCTTAGCGGGAATGCTATTACGCCAAAAGTTGATGTTTATAGCTTCGGCATGGTACTTCTGGAAATCATATCAGGGGCTAGGAATTCATCTGGAACATACAACACTAGGAATGACCACTCTGCTAAATTTTTCCCCGTGCAAGCTATCTACAAGCTTCATGGGGGTGATGTGCAGAGTTTGGTGGATCCAAATTTGCATGGTGACTTCAATTTAGAAGAGGCTGAAAGGGTTTGCAAGGTTGCATGTTGGTGTATCCAAGATAATGAATTTGATCGACCGACGATGGGTGAAATGGTACGAGTTCTTGAGGGTCTACAGGAGATTGGCATGCCCCTGATGCCAAGACAACTTGCGGCTATGACGGAACAATATGGTGCAACCTCTTCAATATACATAGTAAACAGTCACAGTCAATGTGACTAATTGTCGTTTCTGCAAATTATAAAGTGTTATTGTGGAGTAGAGGGAACAAAAGAAGGCAAAGCTTGGAGTTCCTAATTCTTTCTTATTTATTGCCAATTTTAGTGTGCAAGCGCTTGTAGAAAAGTATATTGCATGTTGAATTGAATATGTGTATGCTTTCTTGATGGATGGTTTTATCCCTTAAATCCTTGAGTTGGAAATGTCGATGTATATATGTATGTCACTACTAGTTCTTCATCAATAATGGTGTTTATGTTTTGTTGATGGTGTGTAATTGATCGTCTCTCTGAGTTTGAGAGGATGTCTAGTGTTGAGCTTTTGAGCCAAATGTAATCCTTCAGACTATTTTTTTTATGAGGAGCTGAAGGATCAAGATGATTGACTACGGAGAGTAAGCAATTGTAAATTTACTTCTTCCTTTTGCACTTTAGGCATTCCAAATAAATAAGTTCTCCTGAGTGCAACTATGGTGGGTACAACCTATATGCAGATATGAAGGTCAAGGGATCAAATAAAATACAAAAGTGACAAACCTTGGATAAGAATTAACTGAGGCATGTAGAGACAGAGATGTATCCACTTCCTTGGAGAGAAGCTCGCTAGTCACTGTGAGAGAGGTGTGGGCACCACCAGGGTTTACCAACGCCACCAAGACTCGCCTTCTTCTCCTTGAGCCTCTCACACAAAGTAGGAGCTCAACCGCTAGTTCAGACTAAACTTTATTGTACGGAAAGGGGGGAAATGGAGATGACCCAGAGGTGGCTTCCGGACCTTAGTAGACTCGGAAGCCTATGTTACGGATGTTACTTATTCTTAAGTTCCAATGGAAATCATGTTGGGCCCCCAATGGCAAGGGTGTGTAGCGAGAAGTAAGTATCCCTCAATTGAGAATATCCCTCGGTTGAGAATCAAAGTATCAACCTGCGGAGTTCTCTAACGAGTCAATGGTCAGTGCTACACTCAATTAAGAAACTTTACTTGGTCCCCAACACTTCTTGAGCTCTTGCATAATTGTACTATACATGGTTTTCTCCTTCATAAACTCCGCCACATCTAAAAATTATTTCGGCCTCCACCACTGGTGCTTGTTAATGATAGCAAGGTTGACCGTTTATTGAGGCATAACAAGAAAAGGAATCTCTTTGGGTCCAAGCAAATACTCTGGTAGATGTCTTTGTTGAACCATAGTGTAAAATCTCTTATCATGAGCATCCTTTTGATTGACACATTGGCCATTTGGAACCTTAAGTCTTGGCATGTGGTCTTCCCAATGCTCATTTGTAGTCCAGTTTTGTAACTTACCCCCCCCCCCCCCTTCCCCAATGTCTTTGAGGGATTACATTTGGCAAGTACTTCTGGAAATGTCGTTAAGCGATGGTCCCTTGGTTAATTTGTTGTTGCTTTTGGAAAAGTTTTGGCCTTCCAACATCCTCAAGCACAACATGCTCTTCCTCAACCAGGAACCCTTCATCTATCAGTCTATCTCATGCTCATCATCATGTGCAGCGCCACAGCCCCACATGCTCTTCTCCTTTAACTCTCACAAAAGTATCTTCCCCATCAAACGGGTTGCCAAGCATAGATTTTCGAACTATGCTATACACACGACAAGATTCGGACGACTCATAGACGATGCTTAAAATCTAGCCGGACATGCGTGCATACATCGGATACTGGCCGCTGGATTTTGATATCGTCCATTCATCAGGCACTAGGATCGTGCATGAAGCAGTTCCGTAGATTTTCTCTTGTATCTACCTACCGGTATGACAAAAATGGTAGTTGCTAATCTCGAGGTGACTCAAAGGGAGAGATATCCATGATGTCCGCTCCCGGGAGCTCCTCGGCATTTTTCGGGCAGAAACGGATCCATCCATATATTTATCCAATATCCATTATTATGCATATATAAGTTGCAATATCGAGTACATTCATTCGTTAGCTCCGTGAAGCTCCACAACATCAGGGGCATAATTAATCAGTGGTCAGTTTAATTACCACTGATATACGTACTGGTACTTATCATTACACTGCGGTGGTTACCGTACTAATCACTCCATTGGTACATACGTGCTCATCTCACATCATATCACATCTCATCATCATGGCTTAATTTTGGAGGCTTTGATTGAACCGTTGGATGGAAGACGCTCTAATGGAGGTAGCCGACGGGCCGCTGGCGGCAGGCGGTGAGCGGCGTGCCGCAAAGGCACTTGTTGTGGAGGTAGCTGTAGCGGTCGAACCTGGACATGTTGCCGCCGGTGGGCACGGCGCCGCACAGCCTGTTGAAGCTCACGTTGAACTGCTGGAGGCCAGCCAGGGTCGCCACCTGCGCCGGGATGGAGCCGCGGATGGCGTTGTGGCTGAGGTCGGCGTAGGTGAGCTGCTCCGGGAACTCCACGGCGGAGAGGTCAAAGTTGAGGGCGTTGCGGGACACGTCGAGGTGCTGGATGACCTTCTCTGCGCCGAAGAGGCTGGTGGCGTCGCCGGAGAGGGCGTTGCGGGAGAGGTCGACGTAGGAGAAGTTGACAGCGGCGAACTCAGTCGGGATGGCGCCGGAGAGGTTGTTGTGGGAGAGCTGGAGGTAGGCGCCGTCGGGGGACTTGGACAAGAGGAGCGACGGGATGGTGCCGGAGAGGCTGTTGCGGCGGAGGTTGATACTAGAGAGGCTGATGAGGTTGGCGAGGGACGGTGGGATGGCGCCGGTGAGGGAGTTGTAGGAGAGGTCGAGGAGGGTGAGTGCGGTGAGCGTGCTGAGGAAGGAGGGCACCGGGCCGGACACACCCGTGTAGGAGATTGTGAGCTCCGAGAGGTTGGAAAGCGTGGCGAGGGAGTCCGGGATGACACCGGAGATGGCCGGGAGGTGGTGGAGGGTGAGGGTCTCAAGGAAGGTGAGGTTGCCGATGGCGTCCGGGATGGCGCCGGACATGTTGGAGTCCTGGTAGACACGAAGGCCGACGACGCGGCCCGTGTCGGCATCACAGTCGACGTCATACCAGTCGCAGCAGGCGGAGTCGGGCGTCCAAGACGCGAAGTGGTAGGGGCTGCCCATGGCGATGTCGATGGCAACCAAGGCGGCATGGTCATCGTCGTGGCACTGGTCCGCCACCGCCATCGAAACAAGGAGGAATGAGAGCAGGAGGATAGGGGAGGCGCCGGCCATCTTCCTCTATCAAAGTGGTGGAGCTCCTTCTGTGTGTGGTGTGTGGGTGTCACTGGGCTTACTGAGCTGCTCCTTGATGAGTGAGGCTGCATGGTGCTGGGCAGTGTACTTATAGTGTGGTAAAAGTGCTAGTTTGGAGGGGGTGCACTAACACCGAGCCAGTGGGTTCAATAAACATTTGCACAAAGTGCAGCCTAATGGGCAACAGAAATGCATGCCTTGGCAGCGACAATCACTCACCTGGCCCAGATATTTTCAAGATACATATACATTAGTCTCTTTTTACCGACATCGCGGGTAGAAATTAGGACATGGATTATGGGCAGGCATCATCAGGCATTATCACTACACCATGCATACATATCAACAACGAAGTGGATGATCATGATGGTGATGATGCAATGGCCTTTCAGTTGATGTATGGACAGGCAGCAGCAAAATGCGATTGGTCTCCCCGATTCGTTCAAGAGTTGTTTAGATATGTTTCATCTTACGCGTTTCGACTTGATCCGGCTGTTGTTAATGGGGTAGTGTTGCAATGCAAAATTCCAGTCTCATACCACTATATACCAGTAAAATTTGTTTAGTGTTATGTTCCACTGTCGATATATTCGTTTCTATCTCTCAGCTCAGCAATTACAACCGCCATTTACAGTGTTGCCGCTAACAAACTATCCCTGCAAGTTACATCCCATTTTCAAGTGATCTGGGAGAAAAAGAAAACGAAACCGAGTTCCTCAACATTTTCCGGGATAAGAGTGTGCCAGACAGCCCCTAGGGCGATCGCATACACATGGCACACTGTTGACAGCCCCGGGTGAATGAATTAACAGCGCCATCAAAAGCAGCCGATGATGTTGCAACGTTTTTAGAGCATTTCGAAGGAGCTGTAGCAAGATCATGTACCTTGAACTGCAAGGGTGGTACACATGACCTCTCTCAGTTGTTCATGGCAAAGGAATGTCTGTACGAGTTTTGCTGCTCAATCTTCGCTATCTACTGACAAGCCAGCTTTGTTTGAATATAGCATCTTTCCTGAAGTTACGGCCTCGTCCTGAAACAGAATCGCCTTGGTTTCGGTAGCACTGCAGGCAACCATGACAACAAATCAGATCTAGTGAAACTTCCATGCAGAAGAATAAATAGGCAGCTAAACAACAAAGTTGTTGGACTTGTTACCCTGTAGCAAACAACCGAGTCGTCTGGGTACATGACGAATAGCTTGGTGCCAAGCCGAGCTCGACATGAATCACAAATACTCTCATCAGTTAGCTGCACATGCCTTGACCTCTCCTCCAGTCTTGTCAATCGTGCATCAACGTTCGTCGCACGTGATAAATTATGCACTATCTAATGATAGACAGAGAAAGAGAAAAGAAATTAAAATATATGGATATTGCAAGCCAGACCTCCTGTGAGTTCAACATATAGAAGCAAGCCTGTTTCACAATGTTTACCTGCCCTTGGCGATGATGGTGCACCCGAGCTCTTAGCATTCGCAATATTGTATCTGAAGCTAGCTGGAGAGGCATATCTGAGGATAATCTCTGGGAAAAATTTGTACTTCAGATTTCAGAATTCTTATTATAACCTAATAATAGTTGTGCATAACAAGATCGCCCACAGTAATATAAGAAAATAGTACCTCCAATACTTGTATGGGATCCAAAGATTTCCCGTGATTATGAAGAAGTCGGACAGCTGCTGTAAACATCGGTTCTCTCCCATTTTTCGGGTCCAAATACAAATCCAAAAGCCTGAGTTCAAAGCAAGATGGACATAACATTAACCGAGGAACAAAGATAATCCCATTGATAATGATAAAAGAAAATATACCCAGAGTACGAGCCAGTCAACAAAGAATTACTAGTCAAACAATAACATACTGAATATAAGCATCGTCTCGGCCAATCTCTGCACAGTACTGCTCAGCAGCTTCACTATCCTCCAGCTTCCTTCATCACAGACCAACAAATAACAGTCAGAACAGCAGCACTGAAAATGGTAAAGACAAGCAAGTCCACCTAAACAGAATACCACTGCTGTTGCAACTTACTCCCTCCGATCCATATTAATTGTCGCTGATTTAGTACAACTTTGTACTCCCTCCGTCCCAAAATAAGTGTCTTAACCTTGCTACAGCTTTGCACTAAAGTTAGTACAAAGTTGAGACACTTATTTTGGGACAGAGGAAGTATTAAATCAGCGACAATTAATACGGATTGGAGGGAGTACAAGTTACAACAAACCAATAATAGTAAGTGCAGGATAACATCTTACAGTGCTAGTATCTGAAGTACAATGTTCTCTTGGCCCATCTTCCTATACAAAATGGCCTGACAAAAGAAAAACGAATGCCTTAGTATCTGAACTTAAACACAGTTGTGGACAAATAAAGTGATGAACATGTAACCACATTAAGGGGAAGGTGAAATTTTGTCACAAGACCTTTTCCAGCCATAGCTCAGATTCTGCTATCACATCAAGCACTTCTTCTGGATCATACAAGTCCGAAGCTTGCAAAAATAATTGCAATCTTTCCCTCAATGAATAAATGAACTGTAGGTCTGAGTCGATTTCTTTATCATTTCTCTCTCCGGAATTGGACTCCATATGAAATGCTTCCATGGCAGATTTCGACAGCAATAATGCATATGACGTGTGATAGTGAGGGTCCTCACAACCCTGATCCTCAATCAACCACTGCAAATATCTGCATAACTTAGCCAGTTAGATTTTCATGATAGTAGATGGATCTGAGTATCGAATATGTCAAATGAAGGTGATAGCGCAGGATATGACATGGACAACATTATATGATGAACATGTGCACAGAAAAACGCTGTTTGACTAAGAATTAACAAATGTAAGATGCATACCAAACACTACTCAGAGGTCCCATTATGTTAGAATCTTGATAGAGGATATAAATAAAAGACCAGTGGCACTTAATCATTATTGCAGAACAATATCTACTCAAATTATCCGGCATTGGAGATATAATATTCCTAAGCAGTCATGTCAAGGTTCAAGTTACTGTACATGTTGAATTCCAATGACAATGAGTAATTAGTTAGGCTGTTATTAGACCATTACTGAAGTTCGTATAAGTGTGTAATAAGCAAACTAGCTGCACAAAATGTATCAACAATTACAGCTTTTATGTTCACATAGACATCGGGGTTCATAATGGAATCTTGAGAGGTTTAAGTTGTTGAAGATTTCATGAACACATCATACCTTTGGTGAATCCCAACCTTTTCTGAATCAAGGGCAGCAATAACCTTTTCTGCAGAGTACCACCCAACCAAAACAAATGTTAACAAAGTTCATTACATGTCAAAGTTATTTTAACAGTCCTAACTAGTTAAACACGACATTTCATGGACACAATCAGTTGTAACCACAGGATTAAAAAAATTCAGTTTTCAGGAGAGGAATAAAAAAGAACATCCTTGTACACTTGTACTGCACCATACTCTGACATGCTCACAAGTAAAAACTGGAGGATGTGTTGAACTGCCATGCCAGTAAAGGTACTAATAAAGTGAATTGTTTGAAACAAATTAATTACCAGAAGAAAGTTGTTTTTCCCTCATCTCAGATGTTAAAATCACAGTTGCAAGGTCTTGATCAATGTCTGCAACCTGCATGAAATTACTGAATAATATTCACAAGATAATGAAACAGCTCACTATAAGATCAGGTCCTCAGCATGAAGCACATACCCATCCAAGATGTTCCAAGACAAGGTCCTGATCAGATGTTGCTTGAAGTATCTTGGAGGCTTCGATAGCAGCAATTTCCTCACCGGATTTTTTAACAGACGAAGTTTCCTGGGAGTCCGTTCCAGGCAGAATAGGACGGTCCTTCCACAGACCTGTGCTGTAATTCCTTGCTAAGATACGCCATATAGCAACAGCTTGGGAGCACATTCCCTTACTGCCATATAAGAAAGCAAGCGCCCGCAGATGTCCAGAGTTGTCCAACAGTGATTCCAGTTCATCCTGCACCACCCATAATTTTGACGATAAATGCACCTTTCTATATGTGACGAAAACCTAAGAAGAACAAATCTACAGCATACTATATTCCATCTACAAATCCAGACTAAATATTGATTTCAGTAACATATACTCCCTCCGTCCCATATTGTAAGACACTTTTTGACACTACACTAGTGTTAAAAAACGTCTTATATTATGGGACGGAGGGAGTAGTATATAATAGCTATAAACTCATGATTCTACAAAGCAGGGTTATGGTTATAAAGGAAATACACATACCACAACACAGCTATTTTGAGATGATGCAAGCTTCTCCATGTCATCAACAAGATCAAGTGCTCTATAAAGGTACATCAGAAGAGTATCGACTCCTTCCATCTCTGCAGGAGACAAGCTCTTCTCTCGTGAAACACAAAGGTACCTAGTTTCATTTAGCATTTGGACATTGGTCACTACATGCAGCTTTATTGCAGTTCAATGAATAAAAATACCAGGGATAAACCAGACCTGATAATATTTCTGATAGCTAGTTCCAATAGATCAGCTCTAGTTGGAGGATTTGAAAGGAAATATTCATCCACAACTGTGTCCACACCTGCCTTTTTGAGAAACAATGCTCGCTGAAGTGTTACCAGTCCATCGTCAATAACTTCTTCAAGAGGCTTGGGGGGAGGATGCAAGCCCCAATAACGTTTTCTTGGCACCTAAATTTTGCAAATAAATTTGTTTAAAACTATCCCATCTAGAAACGGCAAGTAAATCCTCGTAAAAAAGATTAGTTGAAGATAAAATCAGGCTGTGGAACCCTGTAGGCATTAACAGCTTAACTAAAAGCTACTGACTACAAAGCAGCCAGCCAAGCACGGTGGAGAAAACCAAAACTCATTTCACAGTTCCCCAAATTGGTTCACGAAATATAAATATGTTGATAAAAGTTGCAAGAGATCCTAGCTACAAAAGCTTTATGCACAAATTTTGTGGAACACTGAAGAAACTGTTTGAGTCTAATTAATTGAATCATAATAAAATCTTAAAAAGTTTATAATCATAAAGTTTTGTCATACACAAGAATAAGTTAAAAACAAATGAAGTGGGGTCTTGCAGATACTCCATACAATAATTTCAAAATGAACAATGGAGGAAGATGACATACCAGATCTGACCAACGATTAGGATCCCGCATGATGAATGGAAATATTTCTGCTGGTTGCATAGTCTCCGACAGCAAGAAATGATTAACAGCATCCTCAAAGCGCAAGTCAAAGAATAATAAGAATCCAAGTTGTGCATGCACAAAGGAAATCATATCATTTGAGATTTCACCATCAGATTCAAACTCTTCCAGCAAAGAAATAGCCTCTGTATAACACTTTATTCGTAACAACGCCTTGATCTGTTCCACTGCAGATACTTTACGGTAACAGAAAACCTGGACAAGTCATTTATCAATTAGTTGTAGCATCACTACAGCTGAGCAGATGATTGCTAGACTACACTCTTAAACTCATTTTGGAATCAGTGGAAAACAGTTAGTGCAAATTTCCTGCTCCACTTTTCTGTCTTGTTTTTTCACTGAAAACTGATATGGGAAAAGTAGGAAATAATTAGCACTAGTTGGCTAGTACAGTAACAGATGGCAACCAACTGACAATGTGGAGCAGAATTTTGTCAAGGTGATGTCAGTCATGATGGTCATAACCAATTACGGTAGCCAGAACTAGAAAGTAACAAACGTCTAACGTCCAGATAACTCAGGATGGCGCAAAAAGTTCAAATGGTGAGTAGCTTAGCTTGGCATGTCTCAGACTCATTTGTGCACTAGTAACTAGTTTTTTACAGCAACCAACAACAACACTGATCAGGGAGCTGCCTGCATATTTCTAAAAGAGAAGGAAAATTCTGTTTGCTCATAAACTTACTGGAGGCTACAAAACTAGTGTAAGTTGTTGCTGTTCTACACACAATTAGTTCCAATTCATGACCATTTCAAGTTAAATCTTCTTCCTGTCTTCCAGGCCCATCTAAGCATGTCCACTCAATAACTCTGCAACTACTTGGCATCTCTCCCTAAGATTAACAAAATGGCATTAATTTTCACAGTATGCAGCGCAAAGCTACTCATAGAAGGCAACACCGTGTATTTATAAATTTGGGGACAAGTTCCATTGATGGCTGAGTCAACAACATACCTACTTTACCTTATAAGCCGTAGCGACCACAACGACCTCCCCGCTGCTTCCATCATCATCGCTCGCCACGGTCAGAACACCCGTGCCTCTCCTCGCGATCGGAACGGTCTGCAAGTGCACCCCATTCCTCCTCCTGTACACATCCACCTTGGACTCTGCGGCGACCACCACATACGGGGACACCTCGACGATGCAATCCGGCCTGCTGTTGAACACAAAGCTGCTTCCGACGGGGTGCCCGGACCGGTCGACGACCACCCCGACATTGTCCACCAGCAGCATCGCCTCCTGGCCGCCCGACAGCGGCCTGATCCTCGGCGCCCCCGCCGACTCCGGGAGCATGAATATGTCCACACGCTGGCCCGTGCCGCCGCCGCTCGAGGAGAAGAGCGAGTACCCCGACGCGGTGCCGGCGAAGACCGAGTCCTCGCCGACCCAGGCGAGCGCGCTGATCCCCTCGACCCCCGCGGCGATCTCCCGCGTCTGCACCTCCAGCTCGTCCGCCTCGCGCAGGGCGAGGTCGAGGACCAGCAGCCTCTTCCCGACCGCGACGGCCAGGGAGCAGGACGAGGGGGAGGCGGGCGGGGAGGAGGCGACGGCGGCGACGCCGCGGAGGGAGCCGAGGCGGCGGACGGGGCGCGCGAGGAGCGGGTCGGCGAGGAGGAGCATGCCGTCGGCGAGCACGAGGACGCGAGCGACGGAGGGGAGCGGGAGGATGGCAGAGACGGGGCGGGTGGCGCCGATGGGGAGCAGGCGGAGGAACTCGGGGGAGGAGGGGGTCGCCAGGGAGAAGAGGAGGAGCTTCCCGCCCCCCGTGCCGAGGTAGAGGAGGCTCGGCGCGGAGAGGGCCGCGGAGCGGACCGTGAGGGGCGTCGAGGCCGGGAGGGAGGCCAGCGCCGCCGGGTCCAGCGTCGCGAAGGGCTCCAGGGCCGCGCGGGAGGGCGCCGGCTGGGATCCCATGGCCGATCCGGTGGGGGGTGGGTGGGTGGGCGGGGTGGGGAGCTAGGGTTTGGGGGAGGCGGACGCCATTGACGGCGGGGCTGGAGTGGAGGCGAAGGTGGAAGACGACTGGAAGATAGACTAGTTGGTGCGACGGCAACTCCAATTCTTTCTCAACTGATGAAAAAAAACTAGGATTAACTTAACAAAACCAGCAAATTTTTAGAGGAAAATGAAAAATACTTCCTGCGTCCCATAATATACGACATTTCTTATATTATGGACTGAGGGAGTAATACATACAGAACATTTGCCCCTTAGCGGTAGAGGATGAATGCTCGTGCCTGGTCAATTTGGGGAACTAGAGAAAGGGGGGAAGGGAAGTCGAGATGATGGGATTTGGTTATTGAAGGAGGGAGGTCAAGATGATGTTCGAACTATGTGGTATGGGTCGGCAACGACCCTAGTCGAATTATTTGGGGCTTTCGGGGTTATTTCAATTGTTTATTAAATAAGGATTGGCATTCGTTCGTTCAATGACAACAAAGTTGTAGCTATTTGCGTGTACATAAAAGGTAGAAGATTAGATGAGAAATGACTTGGGTGGGAGAAGAGAGGGTGTTGTCTGGCAGGGGTAAAATAAAGAGATAGACTGGGATATGTTTGAGACTTTGGTTTCTCGTCTTGCCCAATGGCAACTAGCCTCAGTGTGGTACCTTAAGCCCTCCCTACACCACATGTTCGGTGCCCTTCCCCCCATCTCTCGCGGCCACGGTGCATGGGCGATGAGTAAGAGGGAATTCAAACTTGTGTCATATGTTTTCTTCCCAATAAACCAAAAAAACATAAGCCAATTCTCATCTTTGCTACACCCATGGTTGTTGGTGCAAAGATCACTTGAGTTGACTTGTGAATGGATCTGATGCCCTCTTCAAGGGCTTCCTCTGTATGGTAGAAGTGGAGGTTGGCTGACACTACATCTGAATTCCTATGTTTCAACTTGAGCATCTCATGCTTCCATGGAGAAAAGAAAGAGAAGAATGGGGGTAATAGGCTTTGGATCTTGAGTTGTGGTCCGCCGAAGTGGCTTCTCATGTGTTGGAATTGGCATTGTCCTTGACACTTGTTTTAGGAGCACATTAGGTGTGGCACTAGCTAGGGAGCTATGGCGTCTGCTTCTGCTCTCATCCTCATCATGAGGGCTAGGCCTCGATGGTAGATAGACGGTCTGTCTCGCTCCCCTGCAGGATCTTCTGGCCGAAGGGTTACAGCTCGGAGCTCTGACATCGAGGCAAGTGCGATGCCACCTCCTTTTCTTCCTCCGAGCATGAATGCCAAAAGGGAGGCAGATTTCCTTCAGGGTGGGTGTCTCCTTCTAATTCCGAAGATCCCCCATCCCAAGGATATGAAGGATTTTAGACCGATTAGCCTATGCAATGTCATGTATAAAATCATTTCCAAACGTCTGGTACATAGAGTTTGGCCGCTCCTGGCGGATCTTATTTCAGAAAATCAAAGTGTTTTTATCCCTATACGTTTACTCTCTGATAATTATATCACATCGTTTGAGTCTATCCATCATATACAGTCTATGAGGAATTATGCCACAGCACTCTGTGTGTACAAATTGGATCTCTCAAAATCCTATGATGATGTTGACTAGGAATTTTTGGAGAAGGCCTTGCTCAAATGGGGCTTTTCTCAGGCATGGATGTCCAAGATTATGGTGTGTGTCTCCTCAGTAAAATACTTTGTGAAGTTCAATGGGAGAATTCTTGAATGTTTCACTCCTTCACGTGGTCTACGCCAAGGTGATCCATTATCTCCTTTTTTATTCCTTTTTTTGTTGATGCTTTATCCGCGTTGATCAACAAAACAATGACGGAGGATGGTCTTCAAGGAGTCGGTGTCTGTAGAAGAGCGCACCGTTATTTTGCATCTCTTTTTTGCGAATGATTCTTTCTTATTCTTCCACGCTTCTGAGCAGCAGGTGGTGTTGGTAAAGGGCATGTTGAATACTTATGCTTCATTGACGGGTCAGGTCATAAGCCCTTCCAAGTGTTCCATCATTTCCTCTGATAATTCTGTGCCAATGGTATCTGAGGAAGTAAAAAAAATATTGAGGTGACACAACAGATTTTTGAGCCCAAGTATTTGGGGATTCCTGTTCCGAAGGAGAGAAGGTATAAAGGGATATTTGAAACGGTGCAAACAACATTAAGTAGAAGACTTGTTGACTAGAGTGAGAAATGCATGTCTTCAGGTAGCAAAGAGTGGTTATTTAAAGCAGTGGCTAAAGCCATCCCCACAAATGCGATGAGCACTACTCGTCCTGCCGACATTGGTTTGTGATGATCTCACAAGGCGTATATGACAGTATTGGCGGGGGGTGAGAAAATGAAAACGTAAGATGTCATGGTTGAGTTGGAATAAGATGGTGCTTCCTTAAGGTAAAGGCGGTTACTTGGTAACCCTGTCATTTTATGTGCCCGCTTGCTGTGGACAAAATATTGTCCCAATGATAACCAATACAACCTGATTCCAGGGAGGCTTTATGTATTGACCTTAACATGGGTTGGTTTGGATCATTTGGCACATAAACAATTGCTTACAGAGATTAATTAGATCATTGATGTCCAATAGGGAGGTCTACTCATCTTAAGATCCGACGGGAAGAGAATGAAGTGGCAGATCGTGTCGCAAACTATAGTCGCATAGCCCCTGTCCTTCATGTATTGAGGAACTTGTGCCTCTCGATTATAACTCTATACTTGATGAATAAATCTCGTTATTGCCCTGCGGAAGAAAAAAAAAGGTGCACTTGGACCCCACCAGCGGCCATCACATCGTCGGCTTGTACACAAGGGCGGCACACATGCACAAATCGTCGAGCGGCCTAGCTAGGTGTAGCCGGCCGTGCACGTCTACGTACACCTCATGCGGCTCGTGATTGATCGTGAGAGTTGGCACGGTCGGGACTCGGGACCAGGACGCAGGAGTGAGCAAGTTGGCAAGTAGATCGATCGATCGGATTAGAACGAGGGTCGGCCATCACGCTACCTATGTGGCACTTACTAACCAAACAGAGATGCTAAAAAAACTAACCAAACATACTAGAATGTGCTAGCTGGTACTCCCTCTATAAAGAAATATAAGAACGTTTTGATTACTACTAACGCTCTTATATTTTTTTTACGGAAGGAGTACATGGTACAAGTTGATGAGAATCAACTCCATTTGTGGTGGAGTGGATGAAGTCTAGACCAAACCATTGGAATAATCCAATTTTTGCCGCGCATAGAGGGCAGACGACAGAGAGAGGAATCTGGGCCGGGTGTGCCATGTGGCTAGTACTTACTAGAGTCACGTACTAGTTCAAATCCTAGCTATATAAACGCCCCATGACACCATCTCACTCACTCATCCACACAAACAATGGCGGAGCTATGTGGTGGGCTAGGGGGGCAGTGCCCCCCCCCCACAAGACCTGGAGAGATCCATGAAGAATTTTTTTAAGGGCTTGGATTAGGAAAAAGGTAGTGTTTGCCTCCCCCCAGCTCTTCTGCTTTTGCGTTTCGCCATCCCAGTGGTTTCTGTTTAGCTCCACCACCTCACAGAAGCATAGCCTCCATCTTCTTCCTTATCTTGCGTAAAAAAGGGACCAAGAGAAACTAGCTGTGCCTCCATTTTGTCATGTAGGTCCGGGCAGCCACAAGTGGAGACACTTACGACAGAGGCCAGGTACATCACTTTCATGGCGGTGTTCACCGCTTCAGTGGGTGGCCAGTACGGCCAACGCAGTGCTGGATGGGCACCCTGTTCTGCAGCCACAGGACCTGCAGCGCGCCCCTGTGATTTGGTTGCACGTCCACCAAACAAACCAGGCGGGCGACATCCAGGTCAAGCTCGCATTTAGATGTGAAAACCTATATGTACTTGGCAGGCTACTGGAACCGCGTTGGTGGCTGGTTCGCCTTCGCGGGATCTGGGCCGGGGTGCTCCATGTGGCCGGTAGTTAGTAGAGTCACATACTAGTTTCAATCATGGC